TATTCTTAATCCGTTACCACACGGATAATCGAGTAACTTAAAATAAAAAAAGAAAAGGAAACGTTTATTAAAATAATGAAAAATTAATCCAAATCTTCTCGAATCTTGTTGTGACGCAGAATCGCCAGATTAGCCATGTTGCAACATAACAGCTATGCTGTCACGTCAGTCATTGCCGACGGACAGCGACACACTAGCTAATTGGTTGAGCGTACCCCCGCCCCGCGTCCCGCAAACTATCGGGAGGGCAAAGCTTAAGGCGGTTTGACTATCGATTGACTGATACAGAATATATATTTAATTATGATGGTATATAATTGATATTCAAAGTATGGAATAATTTTGTTTTCAACTGTATGAAAAGTTTTAATCGGAATACCACGCAGCCTTAGCGGAAACATTCAAGCGATTCTTCACTTTCCTGATGTTATTTCCCAAGTGACATAGAATTTTTATAATTGGAATTGTTCGTGGGAATGCTAGGCGCGCCCTTACATACAAAACTGTAGAGCTAAGTATTCGTATTTACAATGTTATTTCACTGTTGTAGTCCTGAAAATTTAACATTAATTTTATTAGGTTGGAGTAGTAGGAGGTTGGAGTTAGGGTGGAGTACACACACATGTGTATAAACTCCAACCTAATAAAATAATATAATATAATAAAATAAAATAATAAATAAGTTTAAGTTTAAGTCAACTTTTACCATCGTACATGCTGGTTTTAGTAAAGTAGTAAGTAGCAAAAGGCGTATGCATTTGGTATGCCGAATTTGGTAGCCGGTGCCAGAACCTAATGTGTGCCAATATGTCCGTTATTAAGGGTTAAAAGGTAAAAATTTAATAAAAATAAAAATAAGAGCAGAAAAAAAGATCAAATAGATAAAAAAGTGAAGTGAAACATAAAAAATAGATTTTTTAAAATAAAGTCACCATTTCCACTTAAGATATAGCCTTTTTTTTTTTTTTTTTTTAACGTGTGGAAATCCCCTCGGACCGTCACCCCTCCGGGGTTTGCGGCGGGGTGGTGTGTCGGACTCGGACCGACTAAAACCACACGGTGTGCCACTCTGCGCCTGTAACAGGAGGGATCCGGGAACAGCTGTTGTTAAGACATCCGGACCCCTCCTAGCGCCAGCCCGCTCCTGGTGCGGGCTCCATCTCAATGTTTTTCCTCTCTTTATAGGCGACGTCCGGCACACGCGGACGCCGCCCCCTCGCGGCTGGCCAAACTAATGCGGGTGGAGGGGAAACCCACCCCGTCCACCCGCGGCCACACTCAGGGCGGCATGAGGCTATGATAGGCGGGCCTCCGCCGCCCGGTTCGCCGGCGGCGGATCGGGTCCGAGTGGAGGTCGTCCTCCCGGACCCTCTCCGCCGCCTCCTTCCGCGAGATTACTACCTCGCAGAAGGTTGCGACCGCGGTAAAACAACTGTCGCTACCGGCCATGGAGCGTACTACGGCCGGTAGCGAGAGATCCACTCCGATGACTGCAGTGAGGGCCCGGCGCTGCGCCGCCCATGCGGGGCAGACCGCCAGCGTGTGCTGGGCAGAGTCCTCACTGCAGTCGCAGTGGTGGCAGGCGGGACTCAGTTCCCTCCTAGCGACCGTGTGCAGGTACTTTCCGAAGCAACCGTGCCCGGAAAGCACCTGCGTCAGCCGGAAGGAAAGGGTCCCGTGCTGCCGCCCTGCCCACTCGGCGATGACCGGCTGGAGAGCCTCCACGGCGGCGAAGCCAGCGCGTGGAGTCTCCAGCCGGAACGACCAACGAGCCATCGTGGCTTGGCGAGCGGCTTCGCGCCACTCGCGCACATCCTCGGGCGGAGGGCGAAATCCGCTCTCCGCCCGGGAGTCAGCCACTCGCCGATAAACTTCGGCGAGCACTTCCACCTCCAAATCCCACGGGGGAGTTCCGGCCAACGCGCATGCCACCTCCGTCGAAACGGTGCGGTAACCGCGTATGGCTCTGACCGCCATTACCCTCTGAGGGCGCCAGAGGCGTACCCTATTCTGGGCGGTCAGAACCGCCGCCCACACCGGTGCACCGTACAGTGCCATTGACCGGACAACCCCCGTGTACAGCCGTCTTGTCGCGACGCTGGGTCCACCCATATTGGGCAAAAGTCGCCCTAGGGCAGACGCAGCGCCGACCAGCTTTGGAGCAAGCTGTCGGAAGTGCTCGTCGAAGAGCCACCTCCCGTCGAGGATCAGGCCCAGATATTTCATCTGGGCCCGAACCGGTACGAGGACCGAGTTGACCACGATTGAGGCGCCAGGGGTGGACCACGACGGGGCCCATGAAATAACAGGGCCTCCGTCTTATCTAGGGCCACCCGTAAGCCCAGCGCCTCAATGCGCCCGACCACCAGGGAGACTCCCCCTGTGGCCAGGCGCGCCGCCTCTTGGAAGTTTGTCCCCTGGGCTGTCACCAGGGTATCGTCTGCGTAACAGATTACACCCAGCCCGGGGAAGACACTTTTTGCCTAGCACAACCAATCTGTAGAACAAGTTATCGTCAGCGGTATTTCCGGACCGATACGACCTCCAACCTTCAAGAAAAAAGCGTACTCCTTCCTTAAAGGTCGGCAAGGCTCTTGTGACTCCTGAACTGCAGGCGTTCATGCTCTGCAGTACTCGCTTTCCATCAGGTGACCTGTCTACTTGTTTGCCACCTCTTCCATAAAAAAATACAATGTTTTAATAATGCAGGGAAAAACAAACCAGCTTAAAAAGGCAAAATATCAATTTAAACTTTCCCTATTTTGTTAGGTATAAGTTTTTGTCCTTTGCCATTCGCATAAACACTTTTTTGTTTTGAAATATAGCCAGCAACTTTTTGTTTCGCTACCTTATTTATTGGATTTTTTATATGGTTTATTTGTTGCGTTATAAGCTTAGGTATAGTTTATTATTTGGAATAAGTTAATTACTAGAGTTAAATAACTATTAATTATATTGTAGCATATTCCACAACAATAATATAAATGGATATAATTTTTTTTCTACATTTCAAAATGTGCTAATGCAAATTTAATTTATTAATTATTCTAGCTTAAGTTGTAATGCTGATGAGTAAATTGAATTTATCGCCTGATGTCTTTTGTTTTTCATTTATCAATTATTCTAGCTTAAGTTATAATACTAATGAGTAAATATACAGTATTTAATAATAGTAAAAAAATACATATTTTAAAGGTTCTCAACAAGATTGTAAAAGGAAATTAAGAACTATATAGGTATAAATGGACCATTGCAAAGTTATGACCGTGAGTTTTTTAAGTTTTAATAAAATGTCAGTTGTGAAAACTTTCAAGTGATTTAATTATTTGAACTGGTATTTATATTTTATCTTTAGAATACAGTTAAAAAGTAGTTCCTTTTGATAACATTAAGTCTTTAAACATATTGTATGTTCACATAAGTATTACATTGCGATGAACTATTACATGATTTGAAAATTATTTTTTTCCTGAACGATGCGGTTTTACCATAAATGGGTTTTCTTTGGTTCTCCTACATATTGAAGTACTTTGATACGCAACTGTATGATATTGTTAGCATATATACATTATTACTACTACACAACAAAGGCCACAATTATTATAAGTATATGTAGCAGAGATTATTGCTAGAGCCCTGAGATTATCGAGGTAAGATTTACTTTGCGGAGCTATCAATCAGCAATAATACTTCTTGTACTGCTAACAAACATGTTGACTTAAGTTTTAATACTTAATGCATAACTTGTTTGTGTCGTGCTTGACATGTTAAATATATATTAAGTATGTTAGGTGTAAGTCTCGTTACCTTGCCCTCGAAAGCATTTTGTTTTTTTGATTAATCACCAAAGAATAATAGTAATATATTGTTTATTTTTCTTGACAAACATTCTTACAGATACAGAGTACAATTTTTTCTTGAATTAATAAATTTATGCTGTGTAGACTGGAGCCTGCACTAGGTTAAACCTGTGTTACGAGTCTCCAGGCCTCCAACTTGGACAATGGGTATCTAAAATCTAGATTGCGTGGTGAGACTTAGTTATTATTTTAAAATATCTTGGTTAAGTACTAGCCAGATGTATCGTGTTATGTTGATAGTTTTGTGTAAGTGTGACTATGTATGTGTGTTGTTTGTATGCGTACACGTGTGTATATGGTAGAGAATAGGAAAGATAAGGATAAGTAAATAAATAAATACATAGATACACTAAGTGATAGTTTGAATTAACTTTTCAGAACGGTAAAATAGTGATTGATGCCGTTGTTAAACTACAAAACATCGTTTTTTAAAGAATTCCTAACATGGTTTAAGTAGTTTAAGTAGAGGCGAAGGCAAGCTTAATAACTGGACTTGGAAGCGCGGGTCTATGGTAACTCTTAAAGGTATGTGGTTTTACTAGATTGTCTTATATAACCCACAATTGAGTGAATGATACCAAAAAACGGTAAATAGAGGGAGTTAACCGAGGCTTGTAACTAGGTCTGTTTTAAGACTATTTATGTCGTTTTATAGTTTTAATAACACGAAATTGTAGAGAATAGGGTGTTGCGTCCCTCCCACATAAAGGTAGAGTCCAAACATGTTTAATAAATATACACACGTACATATAAGGATCGTCCTTGTGTTAACGGATTAAAAATACGGAGTGTCGCCACTCCTATTCATCCCTTGGGTGTCGTAAGAGGCGACTAAGGGAGCAAACTGTGCAGGACAACAGCACTGCAAAGAGAAGGAACACTTTTCACAAACCCTATATCGACCCATCTAGCCAGCTTGGTATAGAAGGCCAAAATCTCCTTTCTAAGGAGAAGCCTTTGTCTAGTAGTGGACTATTAAAGGCTGTTGATGATGATGATGATGAGACGAGATGCCAGACTAATTTCCGTGTGTCAGTTACCCTTGATCAAGGGTAACCCTCTCGAATCCGTTCGCAATAAATATGGATACCAGTTCAGGATATTGTGGTCCTTACATAAGATGCCTTAAAGATATCCTACCTTGGCCACTTTTTCATCAAGTAGCCATTGTATTGCCGTATTGGAGGTGTTTGCGAGTGCCGCCAGAGCCGCATGCTCCCACACAACATGCTCCCAGTGCTCTGTCATGATGGCTGCGCATAACATCGCCGTGGAGCAACTGTAACAACAGAAAATATTCATTAATAAGTCTTGCTTGCGGGTTTGCAACCATTCAACATGAATTTCCGGAAAAAAGTATTGGAGCCGGATATATTTGATATAGGTTATCAAATATATCCGTCTACAATACTTTTTTTCCGGATTAAAATGTAACCTATCTGTATCTACGTGACAGTATGTAAACCAAATGTCATGTTGAACGGTTGAGCAGCTAAGGAGTTACGCGCGTCGTAACGGACAGACAGATAAAATTACTTTTAATTTTTTTTGTAATTTTTTAAATTAAAAATATTTTTTTAAGTAGATTCACCGGTGCTGAATAAGCTTACAGTAGTAGCATAAAGTCTTATCGTTATACAAATAAAACCTATATTCTGTGATAAAGTAATTATTGTCTTCTTTGTTTTTTTTTAATAATAAAATATGGCTGTATCATAAATATATATCAATGTCTGCTTTATTAAAACAAATATCACAAAACATCTCCGAAATATTCTAGCTTTTTATAACTATTACGAATTTAATTAAAATTAAAATATATTATTCAATTGAGAATCTAAAATAGTGACGTCATACGTTGCTATTTAGTAAATTTTTCATACAAAAATGTAGTTTTGACAGATGATATAAAAAGTATCTAAAATGACTAAGGTGTAAAATACCCTATGCCGATTATTTTTTAAATTGAGTAAAAGGTTTACTGCTCCCTTAATTTACCTTGAAATGCTGGACGTAAAAGACAAAAATGCCTTATTGCAAACATTGTTTTTATTATTAACGGAAAAGCATTTCAGAAACATTACTCCTTAGTCAGGCACTTTGCCACATCTCCATCTTTCACTATTCTTCACACGTCACTTTAAAATCGATTAGAGCCTCACCCGAGTATGATATATTTTCCACATGTGTTTACTAGATATGCTACCAGATGTTCATGGTCGAAGACGAATGATGCGAAAACTGCTATTCCATGCAATTCACATCATTCATTAAATTTTCTACATTTTATATCTGGAATCCTTCACAATGATGAGTTAAATTAATCGTTTTGTTTCATCGATTAGTTACTTTTAATCGTTATTGAAGATGTAATTCATTTAGATTGTTTATTTGTGACCTTTAACTCCTTAACTACGCGTTATACGAATTGACATTCACTATGGTGCAAGAGAATACTTAGTACATATACTTAGTGAAATTATTAACAAAATCAACATTAACGAGACAGCTAGTAAACTGTGTATAAATGAGTTCATAACAGGTGTCAAATAGATAATAAATCTTGGGTATGTAACTAAATTATTAACTAAAAACATGATTCTTAGGGAGTCTAAATAACTCAAGCTTACCTACGCTTACGTAATCGAGGTGATAAGTTATATTAAACAAATGAAGTTACGAAATATGATTAAAAATAATTCTAACTCCTATAATAATACATGTTTGCGTACATATTTCATTCCTCTAAAGGCAAGTTTACACGATTTACAAAGGAAAGCAGCTCTCGTGTAAGATTCAATCTGTTTGCTGAACAAATATAAAGTTAATAGCTTTGTGAATATTTAACAATGGCTATTGAAGGTGTTTAAGACATTATTATGAGACGTAACAGTTAGGAAAGTATAGACAGTTCGGTTGTGGTATTAAAGTCTTGAATATTAAGCAATATAAATGAGAAATAGTCTGTAAACGACCGCTGTGATAGTCGAAGGACTATAAATCACATCTAGGGTCGTTTAAACATCCGCATTTCAATCTAAAGTTTAGTTCAGCATACAGCTACAAAGTCGCTGGGACACAGAGTGTATAAAATATCATTTGACATTTTATCGAGGCTGTTATTCACTGAAATAGTTTAGGTGGCGTTAAATAACATAAAACAGACGTAATTTTATGTCGGTCGATATTTTCTTGCTGCAACCCGGCAAAGATATTGTGCTAGGCGAGAATATTGAATGTTCGTTTTGGATAGCGCAAAAGAAATATGGTTTATGTACGCGGTACTTTTGTCGTTGTTTAATATATTGGAAGAATACAGGAAAGTGGCATTGGAAGTGCTATTTGAAAGATTACTTTGAATAACAACAGCTGTGTAGCGTAGAATATATCGTTTGATAAAATACAGACGAGAACGACAGTGTTTTGTTATTACTGAGGGGTTCTATTTAAGTAAACAAGGTTACCGCTTAAAAAAACAGAGACTGCAGACTCATAGACACCCTAACCTTTCCAGTTTCAGTCTTTTCACTAATCAGAGAGACTCTGTCTCTCTCTGGTCTGTCCAGAATATCAGCCTCACCCCCGCAGAACATTAACTGAAACGAAAAGGCACGTTTTGTTTCTTAGTACAGAATTCAACACAACAATGTGACTTAATTGTAAAATAAATTTAGAAATAGGTCCAATAAAATGCGTCGAACGCAAATAACGCATGTGTAGGTACTGACTTAAGTCATTAGAAATTAGATTCGTATGTTTTTATTGTTTTAAAATATCTGATAGTAGAAATTTTTAGCTAGACTTTATTTGGAAACGACTTAGAGATTTACGTATAACACATATATGATAAAATAAATTTATAGTTATAAAATAAAAAAACTAAAAACATATGTTAAGTTTTCATGATAACAAAACGTTTTTGCTTTTAAAATCTGGTAAGGTTTAGCAACTCCAGGTAGCTATTTTAAAACCTAATTTTCATCACACCAAGTAGGAACTTTAACATATAAAAACAACATCGATCAGTTCATGGTCAGTCTTAAGTCAGTCAGTATCAGTTCATGGTCAGTCTCAAAAAGGTTTAATAATTGCATGACCTAATGCCGTTTGTAGAACAAACATTCACGAGATCATTTATTACAAATATTTTTGTTCCTTTGAAAAAAAGAACTAGGTAAGTACTATTTGATTCATCAATATGTGCTTACCAATAGCAACTACATAAACAAGATTGTATCGGTGCCTACTAAATCGCTTTTTTGTTATTCTAGACACACATTAGGACTGTTGATGTCTTTGTCAATTCATGATACATAGTTTCATCGTTTTGATATGAATCACACAATTATAGTTTATTGCTTGATATGTTATTCGACTTTCACTAAAACATTTACCATAATCGGTTTGTACGTATTTCTTTTGGATTTGTGTGCAATAAAGAACAAGAAGTCAATACAAGATCAAAAAAGCGACACAATAGAAGCTTGCTCGAATCATGTTATACGAATAGAGTAGCAATTCTGGGGTAAAAAATTAGGTTTCTTTTGCTGATTAGTAATATTGCCAGACTTTTTTTTGTATGGTATAAGGGTGCAAACGAGCAGATGGGTCACCTGATGGTAAGCAACTACCGCCGCCCATGGACACCTGCAACTCAAAAGTCACAAGTGCGTTGCTGCCCTTGGAGTCCCTCCCGCTCGAGTCCCTCCTTTTGTAAATAGGGTTTTCAACATTTAATTGCTCTATTAGCAACTATTATCTTAATTTTCTATCAACCTTGTTGTATAAAATTAAAATTATTAAATCTATTTTAAATTGTGCTTAAATCACTGTTCTCTACGTAATACGGTAGCTAAGATACTAAAAGCAACTAGGTGCTCCATCACAAACGCCGTTCCAAACTTTCTTTAGCGAGAACTTTATTTAAGTTTCTTGGCAACATTCACTGGATGTTACGCTTTATAATATTTTCCATTTTACTACTTGGAGAAGAGAATACATACGAAATTGTAAACAATCAGATATATGACTGTAATTCTAGAATGGCCTGCAGCTGGATGCGGTTCTGTCACCGTAACAATTATTTTGAACTATTTTGTATTGTGCCTGAGCACCAAAATTATGTTAAGTTAAAAAAGTTCATTTTAAACTATTGTATTAAACATTCGGTTTCGTAATTATAATGAAATCGTGACATGGAAGATCGGTGATCTTTTAACGATCTCCGGTACGTGTCTTGCGGAAAAGAGGAGGAGTACTAAGGAGAATATTCATCGTTTCCTTGTAGGTGATATACATCAGAGAATGCGGCATGTCATGTATTCCTGCTGCGGAGCATGGACAAGACCATGGAATTCAACGGAAGGCTCCAAGGTTGAGTACTTTACTGCAAAAAGACAATCGATAACTTTATGTAGAAATAAGCTTACTTTATGTTTTCGAGGAGAATGTACGAACATCGACAATATTTTATAAATAACTTGGAACCTAGGACGACAACAGATATAATGTGTAACAGAAATGTGGATAGGAAGAAAAGTAAATCCTCTTTATTATTGGATCATCCATCAACGGATCAAAACTCTAACAAGAATTGCATGACAAAAGGATTTAAAAAATGGTAGGGATTATTTCGGTTTTTATGATATATGTCATGTGCAAAACGTATTATATGTAGAAAAAGATCTAATTAGCATTGTTATTGTTATAATATGTATGTATTTAAAAATATATAAGTATGCTAATCAGCAGTCTGGTTACCATAGTACAGGCTCTGCCTAGTTTGGGATCAGACTGCCGTGTGTGAGATGTGTGAAGTTATTATTATTATCTTTATTTCATTCTTTATACATATAAATTACATTTTTAAACATATTTACATACAAAAACAAAAAAAAATACAGTTAAAAATATAAAAAATAGTATCCCATCGGTATCGGGTACAGAGACCAAGATATCGGTGGTTAGGACTCCAGAGACAGAAACTTCCTCACAATACGTGCCGTATCGAGAAGAACTGCTTTCTGCATCAGACCCTTAATCCAACTGCCTAACGCGAGCCTCTGAAGATGTTGGTCGAGGCTCTTAGCAACTAATCCATGGGCCGATATGACTATCGGTACAACGATGGCCGAATCAACATCCCACATGTCGACAACCTCGTGGGCTAAATCCAAATACTTCACTTGTTCATCTTTTTCAGCTTTCAAGAGATTGTCGTCATGCGGAATGGTAATGTCAACAACCATTGCTCGGCGCTCCAATCGGTCTATTACCACT